CAGGCTAAATAACCATTACGCTAACTGCTGGTTCCCTTAAACATTTTTTAAAAATAAAATCAAGAAGGGAATTCTAACATAACTGGATGTGAAGCGCCAGTCACAAACAGGCGAACCCTGTATAATTCAGGGCTGCAAATGAGAAAAGTGGCTGCAAGGGGCTGGGGAGAGGGAAGGGAGGACTCATTTAGTGGAGTAGGGTGTTGGTCTGGAAAGAGAGAAAGGTTCTGCAGGTCTGTTGCAACCGTGTGCACACTCTTCAATAAAACTCAGCTCTGCACTGAAGGCTGGCTCCCATAAACTTTTAGAAAACAATTGTTAGAGGAGGCATGAGCTCACTGGAGGCAGGGGTGTGCGGGGAGGAGGAGGAGAGAGAGAAAAAGTGAGAAAGCCCCCTCAAAGGGACCACCACACTGCAGGTGCACACACACAAACACACGTGCACACACACAAACACACATGCACACGTGTGTTTCTTTAAGCTGTAGGGTGGGGAGGCAGTTGGCCATGGGGGATCCAGCCGCCTAACCCTCCGGCCACCAGCTGGCCCTAGATACTTAATTTTTACTTTGTGTGCATTTTACCAAAGCCGAACAACAAACACCAGCGGCCACGACCAGTCTGCAGACTTGATCCACATCAATATTGCACGAAAATATTTATCTTCAAGTCCCGAAGGCACCCCACCCCCAACACCACCACCACTGCAAAGGCGGGCAGAAACCGCAGTGGCTTTAGCTTAGGAAGGAAATGGGCGGGGTGGGGGTGGGGGTTGCAGAGTAAAAGGCACCTCAAATGAACACGCACCCCTGGAGAACCGGGCACCTCCCAGAGCGCGTCCCTTACCTGGTCAGCCAATCGGGGTAGTGAGTCTCTTCGAACACACTCTCAAGCTCCTGCAGCTGCACCTGCGTGAACTTTCTGCTGCCCAGGCTCCTGGCCTTCGCCAGCGGCCTCCTGGTGCACCTCGCCCTGGTGGTTCTCGTTGGCCTCGGGGTTCATGCCGCCCTTGGGGTCCAGAACTTGTTCACCAACATTGGTTGCTGTGCCCACATGCATTTCAGCCCCTTCTTCCACCTCGTACGCCCCGGGCCGAAGTTGAACCCAGGAACCAAGGCTGGAATCCGGAGGAAGCTGTTGCCTCCTCCCACTGCGTGCAGATTGTGGCCCGGAGCTAGGCTGCAGGGGGCAGGCAGTCCTTGTTCTGGAGCCCAGCACTGGATACCATCAATTCGGGGCGAGGTTAAAAGCAACACTCCCCTTTAGGCAATGAGTATTGGTTTTCCTTTAACTGCCATTTGCGGTGGGTGGGATTTGCCTCCACGCCCCAATCCCAGAGCAAGGCCCAAATGGAAGGGCCAGTGCAGAGAAGTGAGGCGCCAGTACGGGACCCCCTTGCTTGCAGAATCAGGTCCCAGCTTGCAGTTTAGCTGGCTCCTCCCTACTCAGGTAGGGTGAGTGCCCTGAGAAAGGGACTGTGCTGGCCTGCAAGCTGGCAGAGGGGAGGGGAGGGGAGGGCAGCAGAGGGGAGGGGAGATGAAGGGCAAGACTCCACACTGATCACAGGACCCCTTGTGTAAAACGTGAGGAGAATGTCTCGTGGCCACAAACTCCGTATTTGGCAGCCTGGACGTAGCAAGGCCTAGTAATGAACTAAAGTGCCTGGTTAGGGTGCTGCTTCCTCAGTTCCCCTAAAGACACTGAAAATAGAGCCCCCCAACCTCCCATGCTCCCATTTTTTTTAAAGAGCTAGCTCTCTAGGGTCCAGCAGGTGGCAGAGCAGTTACATCCCGGAGTCCCACATGGAAGAGAGCAATTCGATTCCTGGACATGGTGGCTTGAATATCACACCCGGTGCCCAAGATCCCAGAAGGAGATTGGAGGAAGGGATTGTGGAGTGGCCATTCCCCTACCCTGGAGTGGGGCGGGTGATTTCTCACTTTCCCTCTCTCTGTCTCTGTCTCTCTCTCCAGTGAGACCATGAACCCTAAGGCAAAAAGAAATTTTAAAAAAAGAAAGCAACAAAAAATTGAGCTCGCTGGACTAAAGGTGTTTTAGTTAGCTATAAAGGAAAGTGCTAATAAGATCTTGGGCTGAACATGCAATTTTTTTCTTTTACTTTTGAGGTTGGCAACTAGTACAAGCTCGGTATGACTATTCTGAACACAGAGTGACATAATGGTGCATTTTAGGCTTGTTTGGGTGGTTCCTGAGAATACTTTTGTGATAGGGCCAGCAGGTGGTATAGTGGTTAAGCTACTGGATTCCTACATGGTGGACCATAGTTCAAGTCCTGAACCTAGTGTCTTGAAACTCATACCAGGTGCATATATGTGTGTGCCCAAAATCCCAAGAGGAGAATGGAAGAGAAGGGATTATGGTATGGCCATCTTCCCTGGGGTGTGATTTCTCACTTTCTGTATCTCCGTCTCTCTGGTGAACACACATGCCCTATATATATAAAAAAAAATATATATATATATTCTTGTGCAAATACCTCACCTTACAGATGTGGACATAAATGTCCAGAAAAATAGGAGTTTTGTCTAATGATCACAGAGGCAGTTCCTGAGTAGCCCAGGCCTTCTGGTTTTCAGAACCTGTATCTCTGATGAGGTACAATGATGACTGCCTTTAAATATTATAAACTTTAAAAACCTCCAAGTGAAAACAAATGCTGGGTCAAATCTTTTCGTTAGAGATAGAATATCTCTGGCCAGATAAGAGAGACATGTACTCATGGCAAAATGGAGGGCTTTAGGTATAGGATCGGTCCCAGTGAGGAAAGAAATCAGGGGAATGGAGAGATCCAGTATGGGCTTACCCGCAGCAAGTCTTACACTTGGGATATCTGTGGCTTTGCACCTCACCAGATTTGCGCTCCGTTATGCACCACAGAGACTCATGCCTACATAGCCTCCCCCAACCCTGACCCCAACACATCCCGTCCCAAGGAAGAACCCTCATGAGTCTGTCACAAGTAAGGCTGCAGAGACTTTTTCTGAGGGTGGACAATTCACAAGACCTTTGTGTTACTGAAGATTGTGAGTGTGCTCTGATGTGGTGTTCAGTTATCTTTATAGTTTTGTGTATGTATTGTCCAGATACCGGTTATTTGTTTTATTCTAACCTTTTGGCAGCACTTACAGAGGCAGAGCCTTTGAGTCTGCAGCTTCCCAACAGAGGGAGCTATGGCTTTCACAGTGATTGTATGGAAAGGCCTTGCCCTGTGCAACGTAATAGGGAGTTCGCAGGATAAGACTAGACTAGACCACTTGCTGCTGCTGCTTTTTGTTGCTGTTGTTGTCGTTGTTGGAGATTTTCGCCACAGGGCACATGTGCTTGTCCCAGAGAGAAACAGAGACAGTGAGGGATAAAGAGAGAAATCACCCCCGAGAGTAGGGGCAGCAGGTGGCATGATGGTTAAAGGCACTGGACTGTCACATGGCCCACCGCAGTTTGAGTGTCAGACCTGGCGGCTTGCTTTCTCATTTTCCTTCTTTTTCTCTGTCTCTGGTCAAATGTAAACTAATGATAATAAATAAAATTAAATGAAGTAATTCTTAAAAAGCAAGCAATCACCGCAACTCGGTTGACCCTGCCAAAGCCTCATGTCCTCCTATGGACACCTGACGTGAGTTTCAAGCTGTTGCGTCTGGAACTGAAACTGCGGTCAGCCATGTGGGAGTCCAAGCTCCTTCACCACCATGCCACCTGCTGGCACCGATACACGGTCACTACTACTACAGGATTATTGCCTGACATCTAGCAGTAAAAAGTATTAGGCCAGGACATCTGTCAGTGAAACACATACTCTGTTGGCACAATACCTGTGTTATTTTCCACAAGCAAACGTCCTGTCTTTATTATAGATCGGCAGAGGATAACAAACTCTCCTTGGGAATAAAAAAATAGACTGGAGTGATAACAGTAGGAAATGAAAGGTTGCCTAATAGTTATTTGTGAAGTTCTGTAATGATCGTCTCAGTCCTTGTAACAGCCCCCATGGAGGAGATAGGATTGTAAACAGCATTGGAAAATGATTACCCTGAAACAAGTAGGTGATACAGTGGTTAGGCTGCTGGGCTTCCACATGGCCAACTGTAGTTTAACTCCTGGATGTGGCGCTTTGAAACCCATGGGGGGGGGGGTCTGTGTGTGTAGGCGAAAATTCTGAGAGGACAATGGACAAGGGATTGCAGCATGGCCATCACCTCCAGGTGGTTGATTTCTCCCTTTTGCTCTTATGGTCTCTCTCCCTCTGTCTCCAGTGAGCACATGTGCCTAATGGGAAAAACCTAAAAAAAAAAAAAAAAGAGTTTAAGATGACGCTGGCCAAAGCTCCCAATCGCAAGGAAAGCTCCGATTTCTGCTCCGCTGCAAAATTCGAAAGGAGCATCTTC